GTGACACCCCCGGAGCCCGACCAGTTATGTAACCGGAGCCCGCCCAGTTGTGTAACTGAAGCTCGACCAGTTGTGTAACCGGATCCCGACCAGTTGTGTAACCGTAAGCCTAGCAAGTATACATCTCATCCAACTCCCTAGCTCGACCAAACAAAAATCTCCTTAGCCCTACCTAAAACCCTCCACTTCCCCTAGACACCAACTTTCGAGCCATAGCAAACAATTGAACTACATACAAAAAAAAAACTGGATTTCTAGCAAACATATAAACAGAGACTTAGCAAACAAACCTGGAGCACTAGTACACAAACAACCGCTAAGCCCGACGATGCACAACCCAAAGCCCAAGTGACACCCCCGGAGCCCGACCAGTTATTTAACCGGAGCCCGACCAGTTGTGTAACCGGAGCCCGACCAGTTGTGTAACCGGAGCCCGACCAGTTGTGTAACCGGAGCCCGACCAGTTATTTAACCGGAGCTCGACCAGTTGTGTAACTGGAGCCCAAGCAGTTGTGTAACCGGACCCTGACCAGTTGTTTAACTGCAAGCCTAGCATGAACGAAACAAACAACCTCTGGATCACAACCGTACATGAACCAAAGTCCGATCATGCACAACCCGAAGCCCAAGTGACACCCCCGGAGCCCGACCAGTTATGTAACCGGAGCCCGACCAGTTGTGTAACCGAAGCTCGACCAGTTGTGTAACCGGACCCCGACCAGTTGTGTAACCGTAAGCCTAGCAAGTATACATCTCATCCAACTCCCTAGCTCGACCAAACAAAAATCTCCTTAGACCTACCTAAAACCCTCCACTTGCCCTAGACACCAACTCTTGACCCATAACAAGCAATTGAACTATATACAAAAAAAATCGGATTTCTATCAAACATATAAACAGAGACTTAGCAAACAACCTGGAGCACAACCATGCACAACCCAAAGCTCCACAAATCACACACCCCGGAGTTGTGTAACCGGAGCCCGACCAGTTGTGTAACCGGAGCCCGACCAGTTGTGTAACCGGAGCCCGACCAGTTGTGTAACCGGAGCCCGACCAGTTGTGTAAGCGCAAGCCTAGTCAGTTGTGTAACTGAAACCCGACCAGTTATGTAACTGGAGCCCGACCAGTTGTGTAACTGGAGCCCGACCAGTTGTGTAACTGGAGCCCGACCAGTTGTGTAACTGGAGCCCGACCAGTTGTGTAACTGGAGCCCGACCAGTTGTGTAACTGGAGCCCGACCAGTTGTGTGACTGGAGCCCGACCAGTTGTGTAACTGGAGCCCGACCAGTTGTGTAACTGGAGCCCGACCAGTTGTGTAACTGGAGCCCGACCAGTTGTGTAACTGGAGCCCGACCAGTTGTGTAACCGGAGCCCGACCAGTTGTGTAACCGGAGCCCGACCAGTTGTGTAACTGAAACCCGACCAGTTGTGTAACCGAAGCTTGACCAGTTGTGTAACCACACGCCTAGGTCTACTTAGACCGTAGCTGGTGCGCCCCCACATGAATTATTGCATCCAGGCATGGAGACCTCATCTTCAGAAAGACACAGCTGCTCTGGAGCCATGTCTTACCAGAGTTATGGAGCTATGTCTTACGACAAAAATCATACCAGAGATTAGTCATCTGTTGTATCAGGAACGGTTGAGGGCCACAGGGCTAACACCACCACAAACCAGGCATGATAAAATACTAAATTTGGAGGATGTCGATCAGGACAATGTCTTCAAAAGGTCAGATGTTACACGAACAAGGAGCAACGGGTTCAAACTTAACAAGCCAGAATGTTGGACAGGAAACAGGAGATGCTTTTTCACCCATAGGGTTGTAAACCAGTAGAACCACCTACCCGCCGAAACCGTAAACCCCAAACCTCTGCTGGGTTTTAAAATACAGCTGGAGAAGATCATCAGGACAAATGGGGGGACCTTTGACAAGCCACCGGCTTACTGTCCTCATCGAGGCCACTAGTGTTAGTGGCCCTCAGGTAAATTCAGTTCCCGGAGGGGTGTCCCCGCTCCTTCCTGTTGGGAAGTTGTTCATCTATTGTAGTATCATTACTATCATGCAAGAGGAGCCACACATCTATGGTTCATACAATAATATCAGCAGACTTCTAGATGTTACTACTGCTCGGCTTAGACTCGGTTACAAGTATCTCTGGGAATTCTCATTATCTGCTGATGTAGACCTGACCAAATGTAAACTGTGTATCAAGATTAACTTGCTTAGCTAAATGAATTGTGGGGTTCAGTCCCTGAGGCCATTATGTGCCTCTGTAACCCTTAATTCCACTACCACCCAAAAGATGGGTATGGGGTGCATAATAAATGAACTAAACTATTGCAGTATTTGTACATTGGACTGTCGCTTGTCACTAAACTTAGTTGTTAACTATTAACTTGATGAAATAACATTACCTTATACGCGAGAATAATTCTGAATACCCAGCCATAAAATTGACGAATGCGGCTTTGGGTCAGGCGGCCGCGTAGGGGAGCCTGGCCTGAGGACAGGCAACTGTAAATGCTTCTCCCTCCACATACTTCAAGTGCAAATATTTGCCAACAGAACCTAAATACCGAACCTACTATACGCCTAATTAATTATAGAATATAAAATTAATTTATACTCGATAAAAAACTATTTTTAATACACAGTACATTTAAGTCGATAATAAATGCGTCTTGGGAGGTGGAGGCGGGGGTCGACCGCCGGGTTAACGAGCCTAGCCTCACGACGGGGTGGTTTAACACTCTGGGGAAGTGTATTCTACATAATATCCTACCCATATAATGTTGGCAAATCATGATCCTCAAAATCTTCCACAATATCCGAGAGAGGACAGACTATTTAGCATTAGTGGAATACAAACATTTAAATGCTACAGAACCCGGATGAAAAAAAAACAAATGCGGTGTAGCGAGTAGATTATCCCAATAATATACTCGCTCCAAATATAGTGTTAATATTCCTGTCAACCTTTGGAGATGAATGAGGTGAGGCGTTGCCCGGGCAACACGGTAAGGTGTTGCCCAAGCAATATAAGCAGCGGTGTAGCGAACATTGGCTAGTCTACTTTCAAGTGTGGTCTGTGGTCACTTGCGAGATACTGTACCAACGCTCAGTGCGCTCAACTCACACCAACGTATCACCTGTGTACTTCTGTATATTCGACCAAATATATATATAGTATCTTAGTGTCTGTGTTTCTTTGTCACCATACTTTACGTAACAATAAAACCGTTACATTGGTGACCCAGTGAGTGAAAAAGAACACCTAGTCACAAACTAGATCTTCGTCATGGATTTATCTACCAGGTTTCCAGCATACAACGCAGATGATTCAGAATTTTGGTTCATGCAGATGGAGGCTATTTTCGACCTTCACGAAGTTTCGACGATACCCAGCCACGATGGACTACAACATGGACTCTCACTGGACCTCTACTGCTACTGTTTGCTGTGATGGAACGCTGCCAACACCCTCGCCACAGCTATGATTTTCATCGCGTCCATCTCTGCATTTTCATCTACTACGGCTTGCTGCTCCACGATCACTACTCACTCATCTGGCAGCTTCATCAGTAACTACATAATGTGTGATCTACAGCCTGTCCTGCCGACTCTCCGTCGCTGCCAGGGCACTGCTTGTTCTACAGGGGCGCCCACGAAAGCTGCTCTTTCGTCAGATTCATCTACACGTTCACTGCATTCTGATACTCTGCCGACTCAAGCACTTTGCGCAGTACAGGACTTACAGCTTGCGTTTCCGACTCTTCGTCGCCTCCAGGACAATTCAGCTCTAGCAGTGATTACCTCGTTGTCCTAACTACGTGCCTACATTACCTCCTAATGTCCTGGTGCCCGAGCCCATCCGCCCCGGATCTAAATGCTCCACCAGCGACCCAAGGACGCAACAATTATGCACATTCTTCTCTCCTGCTACACCGAGCTTGTCCACACACTGCCTACATCTTTTAGTACCAGACTACAATTTCCACAGTCAACAATGTAGTACTCGGCGTGTACAGTCCTAATCAACCCAAGACGCTACAGCTTCGACACAGAGCAGACAGCAGACTACGACCGCATCGAGCCGCCACGCTCTCGCTCCCCGAGTTTAGACACTCACAATTCTCAATCGAGCCGCCACGCTCTCCCACATAGAGCTCCACGACTCCGGCCTCACTCAGCTCTCTGCTCTGCTCCAGGCTTCGTCTCAACGTCTGCAACACTGCTAAATCCAGAGACACATCCGCCGACTACGCAGTTCACTTTTCGACCCCAATTACCAGCCGCACCACAACCCTCCTACGACGACGGACGACCTCCCAGCACAGGATCCTCCTACGACCCCAGTTAGATGACATCAGCGAAGAGGAGGAAGTTAACTTTGATGGTTATGTAACGCGAGCAGGGCGTACAATTCACCGACCAGCTAAGTTCCTTGATCAATTATTTTTCCTTTCATCCCCTGGGAGGGGGAGTTCTGTAGCGAGATTATCCCAATAATATACTCGCTCCAAATATAGTGTTAATATTCCTGTCAACCTTTGGAGATGAATGAGGTGAGGCGTTGCCCGGGCAACACGGTGAGGTGTTGCCCAAGCAATATAAGCAGCGGTGTAGCGAACATTGGCTAGTCTACTTTCAAGTGTGGTCTAGAGCAGACACTTGCGAGATACTGTACCAACGCTCAGTGCGCTCAACTCACACCAACGTATCACCTGTGTACTTCTGTATATTCGACCAAATATATATATAGTATCTTAGTGTCTGTGTTTATTTGTCACCATACTTTACGTAACAATAGAACCGTTACAGCGGAAACAATGACTCTCGGAGACATTACAAAACTCAATGTTATAATAGCGAACAAATATATAACGCATTAAGCATTGTAGGTGGAGGTAGACTATATATTCATGTGTACCTCCCAACTGCTCAAATATATTTTGCTCATTTGCAAAAAAAAAAAAAAACTTATCAGTCTTACCTACACGGGAGCGACGCACCGCACACCACCGCTGCTTCTTGACGACTGATGGGGTCGTAGTCGATCCACGGTTGCCAGATCTAAATTGCTGAAAGTAGCGAGCTGACGGTCTAAATGTAGCGAACTTGTAATAAGAGTAGCCCAATCTTTTTTAGTGAATGATATGGGTTTCAAAGTAATATATTTTAATATATAGAGTACACTATTCCCTTGTTCCCTTGTAACTTGTAACTCACTTGTAACACTTATATGATGTTCTTCCTATTTTAACCTGCTATGTTAAATGGGATTCTTGTATTGTGATATGTGTATTTGTACTCACTGAATTTGTGCGCCCCTTGAGGGACTTGAAGTAGAAGAGGGGGGAGGGGGTACAAATAGCCTAAGCTACTCTATTCCTTTGAGATGTATTTTTTTATTGTCTCAATAAACATACTTGAACTTGAAGTGGACGTTAATGTTTTTTCGGCAGCTTTATTTCCTTAGTTGTTTTCTTTACCGTGTATGTTGTAATACACTATTCCTATATTTACAGTTGTTTCTCCCTGTGAAGATTATTAAACAATGGTGATTATAAGGGCGCGGAAGTTCAGCCTGGCCAGGGCCGCCAGCAGCCCTTGGGCCCGCCCCCAGTGCGGTCTGCTGCATGATGCGAGGAGGACGTGTTGCTCCGCATCTTCGTGTTTGCACGTGGCTGCTGCAGCTAGATGTTGTGAATTTGTTCTCGACTGTTGCAGTGATACAGTGCCTTTGTGTATCGAGGAAATGGCTGAGGCGGTCTGCCTAGGTGATGGAAGATCCTGTACTGGGCCTGGAGAGTGTGACAGTGGGGATGGCAGACAGGATGATACTAGGCCGTATCAAGCAGTAGTAAACAGATATAAACGGAGAAATATTCAAAGACAGCGAGACGAAGACAGTGAGGAGGAAATAACAAAGAGACCAAAAAATGAAGACATGCTCAGCAGGACGCGGGAGATCCAGACTAATGGAAGGAAGAGGCTGTTGTTCCCTACAGCATGTCAACTGAATTTCCATCAAAAGCTGGAGTGGACGGTTCGTTTGGCTAAGGAGTTTTTTGAATATGAACCACTATTCAAGGAGGGTCTTCACCGGCCCTATTTAACAGTTGGGAAAGAAGAGGCCGTGGAACACCTAACGAAGGATGGGTTTGAGAATATTGTGATGGTTACTCCGGAAGAAGGTATGATGTACACCAAGGTCATAGTGTTTAAGTATCCAACTTATTTGGATCCTGATTATCTATTGCTCAACAATGATAGTGTTGTTTGGGCAAAGAGGAGGAGTGTTCGTGGTGAAAAACAAAGCCAGGTTGTTGCCTTGGTAAAGGGTGAGGCTCCAGAAAGAATTTTTGTGCAAGGACTAGGCTACAGGAAAGTTGTAAAATACATTGAGGAGCCCATATTATGCATGAAGTGTTCTCGTTGGGGACATATGGCTTGGAAATGCCAGTTTGACTCCAGGTGTCGGTACTGTGGTAAGAAACACGACTCTCGAGAGTGTAGAGTCAAGATTAAAAACGGTGAAAAAATCGTCCCATCTTGTTGCAATTGTCGAGGAAGCCACAATGCTGGTTCCTATCTATGTCGCATGAAGCCTCATCTGCGAGACTCGAGGACGGGTGCTACAAGCAGGATAGATGTATCCTCGAAGGAAGGAAAGATTGTGCAGCAGGAACATGGAGGAAACAGTTGGAAGCCAATGACAGCGCCTATGAACAATGTGTGGGAGAAAGGAACAGAGACAGTTAAGGCGAGCCTAGGGAAAGTAGGAAATGCAGCTGAAAAAATTAAACCTTGTGGAAACAAGGTTCAGGTCAATATTGTGAACTCTGAGGTTGGTACTCAAATATTGGAATATCTAAAAAAACTAGAAAAGAGGATTGAGGCATTAGAAAAATTAACTATGGGGGGTAGACGGGGTGAAGATGGTGGTGAAACAGGACGTGAAGTGGAAAGTGAAACAGGACGTGAAATGGAAAGTGAAACAGGACGTGAAATGGAAAGTGAAACAGGACGTGAAATGGAAAGTGAAACAGGACGTGAAATGGAAAGCCAAACAGGACGTGAAATGGAAAGCCAAACAGGACGTGAAATGGAAAGCCAAACAGGACGTGAAATGAAAAGCCAAACAGGACGTGAAATGGAAAGTGAAACAGGACGTGAAATGGAAAGTGAAACAGGACGTGAAATGGAAAGTGAAACAGGACGTGAAATGGAAAGTGAAATAGGACGTGAAGTGGACAGTGAAACAGGACGTGAAATGTGCGTTGAAGAAAGTAAGGAAGAACATGACGTATTGATGATAGAGGATAGTCAGGAAAATGAACTTTCTAGTAGTGTTAGCGTTCAACCTTCTGTAGTGACAAATGTTGAAACAAAGGTTAAAGTAAAACGGTATAGAGAAATAAGAAAGAAATTAGATATGAATAAGATCACCTTTGATGCTAGTAGCTGTTGTGCAAATGAGGAGAAAGCAAAAATGTTACAGTGTTGGGAGAGTCTGTCTGAGATAATCTCGTATCTTATGGAATGTGACAGACAGGGCAAAGGTAGTTTTATTAAATCATGGATGAAAGTAGAGTGAGAATCTTATCTTGGAGCGTTAATGGGTTAAAATCTAGTGCGGTGGATGTATACTATTATACTCTTATAGCTAGTACTATATTAACCTGATATGTTACATGGGATTCTTGTATTTGTACTCACTGAATTTGTGCGCCCCTTGAGGGACTTGAAGTACGGGAAGGGGTAGGAATAGCCTAAGCTAATCTTTGAGTTTTTTTTTTTTTTTTTTTTTTTTTTTTTTTTAACTTGTCTCAATAAACCTACTTGAACTTGGAAGACCATTATGTATTAAAGTGTCAACTTATGGATAACCATAGAAATAAGGAAATAAGTAGTGTACCACTTCAAATTGTTTGGGTGTGTGATAATGATATGATAGACAGAATACTTAGGAACTACAAGAATTTTGCCCCAATGATTGTAACACTTACTATATTAATATGCAATGTTAAATGTTGTATTGTGATTTGTGTATCTGTACTCACTGAATTTGTGCGCCCCTTGAGGGACTTGAAGTAGAGGGGGGTAGAAATAGCCTAAGCTACTCTATCCCTTTGAGATGTATTTTTTTCTTGTCTCAATAAACATACTTGAACTTGAACTTGAAGGGAATTCGGAAGTAATAATAACACAGCTGATGCCATCTGTCGGCAGAAGAGAACACTATCAAGTATTTTTTTTGTTTTCTTTTCTTTTTAGCAGGGATAATCCTGCGCGGGCCCTAAGCCTCTGAGAGCAGTGGTCCTAACCACTATATGATGATGAACAGTTGATAAATAAAAGTAATTGCGTGTTATCTAATACTTATCATAAATGGCGGCCAAGGATTTGTAGTCAGTGTTTGGGAATTCGGAAGTATAATAACGCTGATGCATCTGTCGGCAGATTGAGCACTATCAACTGGCAGGTCAACAGTGGCCATAAGATACAGCTTACGCCATCTGTTGACATCAAATTACACTTATAACAAATTACCCTACAAAATACAACTAGCGCCATCTCTTTTTTTTCCAACGCACTAAAAATAGCCAAACAGCAACCCATAAGGCGGGTTGTTGTGTTCGGGTAGAGGTTCCAAGCTCCGCCCACAGATGGTATGGGGTGCATAATAAATGGCATATCATTGGTAGATATTCTTTGTTGACATTCACACAACAGCCAATCACAGGAAGGGATCAGCTATAGGCTCCATCCACTTAATAAATCATCTTTATTCAGCACACCATCCTTGCTTATGACATTCTGCTTCAACTTTAATCTACCTAAAAAGTGAAATGTTAAGTATTTAAAAGTATTAATATAGTAATAATTAAATACTGCAGGATGTAACGAGTGTTACAGAAACATGGGCTGGCTACCTAACTTGTGACGTCATCAGTGGGTGTTGCCTCACACAAATAATATCGGCGATACAATGCATCCGTCCTCTTATTGGTCTACATTATTCAGTTAGATGGAAATTTCTGTCTTGTATAAAACAGAAATTGTTGTTCTTTTGTACAACAACAAGGTTATTGAGCAAAAGGACGTATTTCTTATTTTGCATTTTATTCATATAAGCGTTGGCATCCCTCGCAACAGCCAATCACAGGAAGGTATTTGTTGGAAGCTCTGCCTTCAACAAAGTTAATTCCTAATGAACTCTAACAATAAATTCGTTTAATAAACGAGTATTTAGGGTCAAGCTACAGATGAACATTATAGGATAACGGTGTTTTAGCTTGCAGTTTCGTTAGACAGAATCCCTGGTCTTAATTTTAAAAATAAAGAACTAGAAAGCGTATTTTATTGCTAACTTTTCGAGAAATAAATCCCAGTCTCATATTTGCGAACATTTATACATTGATTTTTGGCTTAAGTTCTTATCATAATCCCTTTTGCAATCTCAACACCAACTGGCTCGTATCTTGTAACTATCTTCGTTACTTAGCCTCAAAACCTTACATTTGTCTTACATATCCTCAACAGTAGATAAAAAAAAGTAATTGCAGAATTCTAGTTACCTAATACCAGCATGGTATAAAACCTTATTATAAGCTACCAGACGTATAGATCAGTGTTTAAAGCAATAATAATACATTATTATTAATGTAATAATATTATTAAAATAATAATAATACAGCTGATGCCATCTGTCGGCAGATAAGAACACTATCAACTGGCAGGTCAACAGTAGCCATAAGATAAGCTTACGCCATCTGTTGGCATCAAATTACACTTATAACAAATCACCCCACAAAATACAACTAACGCCATCTGTTGCTTTTCCAACGCACTATAAATAGCCAAACAGCAACCCATAAGGCGGGTTGTTGTGCTCGGGTAGGAGGTTCCAAGCTCCGCCCACAAGATGGTATGGGGTGCATAATAAATGGCATATCATTGGTAGAAATTCTTTGTTGACATTCACACAACAGCCAATCACAGGAAGGGATCAGCTAAAGGTGCCATCCACTTAATAAATCATCTTTATTCAGCACACCATCCTGCTTATGACATTCTGCTTCAACTTTAATCTACCCAAAAAGTAGTGTTAAGTATTTAAAAGTTAATAAAGTGATAATTAAATATTGCAGGATGTAACGAGTGTTATAGAAACATGGGCTGGCTACCTAACTTGTGACGTTATTATTGGGGGTTGCCTTGACACAAATAATGATACACTGCTCTGCCCTCTTATTCGAGTAAATTATTCAGTTAGATGGAGATTTCTGTCAGGTGCAAAACAGAAATTGTTGTTCTTTTTCACAACAACCTTGTTGTTGTGCACAAGGACCTATTTCTTAGTTTAAATTTTATTCATAAAAGAGTGTTGGTATTCCCCGCAACAGCCAATCACAGGAAGGTATTTCTGGAAGCTCGGCCTCCTTATGGACTCAGCACATCGCTCTAGCTCATGGCTCTCTGTTTCATCTCTTGTATATACAAACTATGACTTTTTTCGATTACTGTTATAATTAATAATATGAGATATAAAAGTTTTTACACAAAATGGCTAAATTCTGCCATTAAATGGACTTTGTCTGGTATACATACAAACATACACCAATTTATTACCATTCATCCATTATTAATTTCAAATGTAATGTATACTGTCTAGTTTTTTCCTCTCGCCATTACTTGGTGCAATATTTGAAAGTTGTCTATTTATTTATCGATCTATCTATTATCTTGTATTTATATTTACAAGTTTCTGTGCTTGGAAGAAAACTCTGCATTGAATTGGGACTAATTTATTAAATAATATTATTTAGTATTAATTAATATTTACAATTATTATTAATTACAATTATTTATAGCTTAGTTACTTTCATGTAACTCGCAATCGTACATTCTTAACATTAATAGCCCAAATTAGCACATCTTGCTTTTAAATTAGCCCAAAAAGTAGCAAGTAGCGAAATTAAAAATTTGGGAGCGCGGGGCTCTCAAAAGTAGCCCAATTCGCTATTTGTAGCCCAATCTGGCAACATATATATCTCAAAAATAATAGTAATTATGCCAGATACAAGTCTCATCGCTCACAAGAAGATTCGTCGGCGGATTTTTTTTTATTTGTATATAAAAAAAAAAGTTTTTAAATTCTTGTAAAGCCATTAGCACGCACAGCGTTTCTGGCAGGTCCTTAATCCTAATTTTTTCCCCGGAGTATGACCCGCCAAATCGTTTAACAACCTATTCTCTGCTGGGTGAACAGTTAAGGATTGGCGCCCGGTCAATCCTTCCCGGCCAGGATACGAACCCAGGTCAAAGGGCTGGCGAAGAGCCGGGCGCGAGCTTTACCACTGCGCCACACAGTGGAATTTTGAATTTTGAAACCTGACTAACCTAGCTCAACCCAACCTAACGTAACCCAAATCAAACCAATCTAATCCAACCGAGCCCAATGCAGCCTAACCCTAATAACATAACCTAATACAGCTTAGCATAACAATACATCCGATTTTTGCTCTCATTTCCCTTGCCACTGTCTGCATTTTTATTATTATCAGGCACGTTTTGTTGCCTTTGTCATACCTCGCCATTGGCCTTCCTGTATTCATTGGTGGGTTGTAGATAACCCCCTAACACTATCTTCATGAGCCCTACTGTTGTTATGCTTAGTATGTAGTCCTGTTGGTTGGTTACTACTGGAATCTCTATTTCCTCTTTGCTGAAATGTTTTTCTATTAGTAAGGCTAATCATCCCCCTGTTATCCTTTGGTGCCGTATTACCTAGCATCCTCTTGTAAATATTGCATCCTCAATATCCTTGTTCGTCTATTTTTGTCTCTTGAGGATGCAGTTCCACCACACTGTTGTAACTCTACCCACTTATTTGTAATTGTCTATTATTTTTTACTACTCTTTTCAGATAGGCTGCATAATTTCTTCTTTGGAAATATATTCTCTTTTTCAGTTATTAATCCCCGAAGTGCAGCAATTGAGCGTTGATCTAACCACACACATTCCTTGGGCTCGTTGCCAGTCTGACTGGGCTCACTTATCTTGCTGTACCTGACTATCCTCATCCTGCCCTTGCTTCATATTTTTATTTTATTGATTTATTTATACAAGAGTTTTTACATTCTTGTACAGCCACTAGCATGCATAGCATTTCGGATATTTTCTCGCATATTATTTACAACTTGTTACTCCTTGTTCCATTTACTGCTTGATACCTGTTTGAGGGAGTTCTGCGAGTTCGTCCATTTCCCAAGACTTGCGAGAGTTTGGTCCAACAGGCCAAACATGTGGGCCTGCGAGCTTGGAGCAGCCCGCAGGCCCACATATACTTTTCCCCTTATAATTACTTTGTATTTTTCCTCTCATTACCATTCATATTCAATTGTATCTCCCTCCATCACATGGCTTTCTTTTTATACAAGTATATGTGTCACAAGAATACATCTTTGGAAAGTAACTTTCACTTGTCTGTCATCCACTTTGAATCATCCCTATTATACAAATTTTTTAAACTTCTCGAGCTTTCCTTCCTGCAGCACCTTGCCAAGGATTTCTTTCAAGTCCTCCCAGGGTCCATTTGTTTCCTCTTGTTTCTTTTTGGTTTTGTCAGTTTTTTTTTGTCACTAATTACTCGCTTTCCATTTCTCATTAATAGTAGTTCGCTACCTGTTTTGATCTGACAGCATTTATTACTGTTGACTTTATTACCTGCCTCACCTCTGACCTTATGGCTTCTTATGCAAGTCTTTACTGGTCCTTGACCACATTGTCCATATACATCCCAGTTTTTTTTTTTTTTACTCTTTCTTTTGTTCCTTCTTTTGCAGCAATTCATTCCCTTCATTAAGTTCAGTGACCTGCATTGGTTCATTTTTTTCGTTCCTCTAATTAAGACATGGTATCTGCTCAAAGTTTGTTACTTTAACTTCATTCCATTTTCATGTTCTTTGTGGTCATGTCTTGTTCAGATACCTGCACTCATTCTTTCTAACTCTTTATTCCTTATTACTTAACCATGGACCTTCATATGTTCCCTTTCCTCTTCCCCATTATTTGTTCCCAACTTACACTTCATATTTTTTTCTTCCTTTACCTGGAGAGTGAGGAGTGAGAGAGGAGAAGAGTTGAAAGGGAGGGGGGCACAGACTGGGAGAGGGGCAAGGAGTGTGAGAGGGTGGAGAGGGGTGAGGAGTGTGAAGAGGATTGAGAGGGGTAAAAGGGGACAGAAAAAGAGGTGAGATAAGGAAAGAGAAATGAGAGAGGGGGGGATAGGAAAAGAGAAATTATACAGAGGTAGGATAAGGAAAGAAATGAGAGGGGAGAGTGGGGAAGGGATGAGAGAGACCCAACATAGCCGAGTACCCCCATACTGGACTGTATGGTCCACTATGGGGACTGAGCCTATACACAGGCTCCTCAGAAATGTATTCTCATATAAAATCTGAAGTTGTTGTAAGTCCCTTGAGGTTGCATAGTAATGGATAGGATGGATGTGGAAAAATGAATCACTACGGGTGTAAACACTGAAGCAAACCGATGGTAAATATTAAATCACGGAGTAAAGATGTCCTCAAAGGTTGTCTCAAAGGAAAAAAATATGGAGATGTACAGTGCAGTACTGTAGGTTCACAAATGGTATCTTGCTGGGAAAACACAGATATTCAATATTGCATTTTCACAATAGATATATTGCTGAACTAAAAATTTATATAGTACTTCTATGTTCAAAAAGGTTGTCTCCTTAGAAAAATATTTAGATGTACAATATAATATGCTTACAAACAGTTTTTCCAATAGAAAACACACAGGCCTATTTACAAATGATTTCTAACTGGAAAAACATAGACTTACACAGTACTGCATGTTAACAAAGGATAACTTAAAATAATACACATAGGCCTATATATTATATACATGATGGATGTTTAACTGGAAAATGCAGTCTTATGCAGCATACAGTATTAACAAAGGTATCTCACTGGAAAAATATGAATATACAATATCTTTACAAGGGTATTGTGTTTTAAAATAACATGTACATACTTCTATCTTCACAACTAAACAGTATATGGCAGGCCAGTCCTAGACTATACAGCTCCAGTGAAGAATCTGAGCCTTATAAAATAATAGAAGATAAAAAAGGTTGAGAATTTGCTTTGAGACTAGTACCAGCAATAGTACACACTTGCGACGACGAATCCAAAGAGCTCAACTTAACTATAGCAGAAAAAACAAAGAACTAGATGTGATGTGCTTACATCATAAAAGATATAGTACTGAGAATAGATGAAGTGGATACAAATCTCATTTCCAGATGTGGGAAAGCAGAACGTAACCAACTAGCAACACAAATGAATCATATAAACATTGTGGTAAACAAATGAAATGAACTTGAAGCAGAAGTTGTGGATGCTATCTCAGTTAACAACTTCAAGCGTAAGAATGACAGCATCAGAATGTTAATTAGTGTAAAAGTACCAGGTACAAGAGCCAGTGAGCTGGGCTTCTAGAGCTAGATCTCACTCCATGTAGATACAGTTAGATGAGCTCAGAGGGTGTCTTTCTTGGAAAACAGCACCAAGACGACATATATCCACAAAGGATGTCTTAGCTTGAAAGAGAGTTATATGCAGTACATGGTTTGGGGTGCAGAGGATGCATGCTCAACTTATTTTATACTGCTCCTCCTAAGTACTCTCTACTCTCATTCCATCATCATTTACTAGTCTTAGTGTCAACATGATCAGGTTGAAATGTTAATCCTAAACTCCTAAGATCTACTTGTCCATGTTTCCATTAATTTTAATGGCTTTACTGAAGAAACACATCAATGCGCATTTTACTGAAAATTTATATATATTTTTGGGGATAAATGAAAGAGGTTATCTTACAAACTGAACTTTATTGCATGAATGAATATTAAATACTGTACACAAAGAGACTGCTGTACACTATCACAAATTTTTTTTGTGTGCTAAACTGGGGTGAAATACCATTGGTACACACCCCCTCTGTGACCAAAAAGTACACTCATCATCTACTGTGAACTGTGACCTTACAGAATCTGAGACCCTTTCATACATGACTGTGAAGTGGGTGTCCTTCTCCCAAATGTGAATATTTAATTTTATATAAATTAATTTTAAATAGTATTTATAATTAAAAAAAGACAAACAGTCTCGATTTATTATGCCCATTTACCTGATTAGGAAAGTACAGGTAGGCTAAGGCCTCTTTCAAATTTATTGGTATATGTGTAAATGTTTAGAATTATAAAATGAAAGATGATCATGTTTGGTTTATAAGTTTATGTGTAACACTAATATTTGGGAGTACGGGATGCCAAACACAGCCACACAAGCCTAACAGCACACTGCTCAATTTTAAGTGTAACTTCCAGTGAACTCTACATGTTTTGTTGGCTTTTAAAAATTATTATATAAACCAAAACATATGAATGCAATCTAGTGAAATATTTACAAAAATAAAACAATACAAAATTCACTCAGGAAATAGATCTGAATACCTAAATTTGAGATCTAAAAATACTTTCAATCATACAAGTACAAAAATATCACAAACGGTAGAAGGAACCTCTAGAGAAATGTGTCAATTGCCGTCAAACCTTTTGAGTCCATTTTTGCTTAAGATGCTCTTTCCCTTTTTAGTAAACAAATAATCTTTGCAATTTTCTACACTACTTACTAATCAACTTTGTACATTGAGTGTGGTCATATTAAAAATGGAATGTCATGTACAGACGTGATGATACAAAACTTTGGAAAATCATAACTATGTTGTACGCGCATCACAAGTGAACACTTGCCAGTGTTCTCACTACTGCACTTGTTTAGTGTCCACCCATTTAACAAGAAAGGCTTCAGCAAAATCCATTGAAATGTGTCCATTTTGGCACTGCAGTATATTGTTCATCATTTCAAATGGTACTGCAAAATGGATTGCCAACAGCTGAATTAAATTCACTTTCAGTAAAGCCACACAAGTTATTGGGCACGAGCGTGTGTTTCTGAAGCACATCACAGTCCAGCACGACCAACAAAACAACACTGTATGCTCTGCCACCTCTGAACATACATAAAGCCCTTGCTGTTCAAAAGGCCTTCAGAGCAGCAAATGTCTGTGATAAAAGGCTGAGGAAGATGTGGCCGAGTATGGGAAGACAAGGGCATAGCCCTACAGGTGCTGTTGCTGCTGTTGCTGCTGTTGCTGATGTTGCTGCTGCTGCTGCTGCTGTTGTTGCTGTTGCTGAGTAGGCGCATGAAGAGGCTGAGATGGTTCAAACTGTAGAGGTACTAGTGGGTTTGCAGGCGGTGATGTGTGATGATGGGTGTGGGCGGAAGTTGGAGCCTCTTGAAGAGAAGCTGGTGGTAAGCGGTGTGCAGGTGGTCTCATAATATCATCAGCCTGGGGGCAGTGTTGTCGTGGTCCTGGCTCAGGTGTATACGTAAAGGTAAGATTGGTAGCATAGATAATACCATCGTGACGAACTAAAGAAACAGGAACCTGAAAGAAAAATTTAGATGGTTCAATTATAATTAGTAACCAAAAAATATAATATATTGGGTGGATATGATGGTGGAAGAGGTTTTTGTTTTGTGATCAGATGTTTGCAATGAGGCAGATATTGACGACGTATGTAGAAAAGCTTTTTAAGGTGCGAATAAATTTATGGATCTGGAGAAAATATTTGATGAAGTGGACAGAGAAAGATTGTGGAAGGTTTTGAGTTTGAATGGAATTAGAATAATGTTCTTAAATATAGTGAATGGCTTTAATGAAAGAAGCAGAGCATGACTGAAGATAAATGCAACTATTGTAAATGTAAATTAATAATAGTAGAGAGAAGGAAGTCAGAGTGAAATCTGAGTGGTTAAAAGTGCTAAAATCTACCTATAAACTTAATTGCATGTTATGTCATTGACAAGAGGATTTTGATTAATGTGAAGCTGAGAGCAGGTTAAGTTAGAGAATGGCCAATGGTTAGTGCATTGAGTTGCACCAAGATACGATGGGATGCAGCTGGAGAAACGGTTAAAACTCAAGAAATGGTTATTCCAGGCCTAATGTATGGATATACAAGTGAGACATAAGAATAACAAATTATGATGCCTAATATCTTATAACAATGAAAGGCATGATTTTCAATTTGATTTCCATTAATATTCATGCCATAACAATGCAGTAATTAATCATTTAAATATATACACATTAATACTGAAAGGAAAAGCCATATTAAGATAAAAATGCAAATGCACCTCACCTGCGTTGGCTGACGAACCCATTGCCATCCCCTACGAAAGGCAGATATATCAGGAACAACACACAGCATAGATTCTTGGCAACGATACATTGTTTCTGCTTCGACATCACCAAACCATACACGTAAGTTCGGACTGAAGTTTTCCCCAGTCAGCTCTAACATGGCAACATCACCACCACCATTTAACTGTGGAGAAAATATAATAAATATCTACCTTTCCATCTATTTTTGTATATCTAATTCCAATATATCCTCCCCTGACATTTCAATTGGCCTTCATGTACTGTACAATGAAAACCTGAAAAATATTCTGAAATGCAAAAGAAACAGACAGAATGGCATAAGGCAATTTTTTTTATTCATTGTAAGAAGATTGTGAAGATGAAGGGAAGTGCTTGAAAGCTGGCTGCCGTGTGAGCAATGCCAAGGAAGAGTTACAAGAGTAGTGTTATGAACCATTATAGTATTATTAAATAAGATAATTATGAGGAAGAACAGCTAAGCCAGTATTGATATATATCACATGAAAGGGATCTGAGGATAAGGAGCTGTGATAGGATGGAGAGAACGAGAGGTCCCTACCACTAAAACCATCTGGAATTGCAACCTGTCTTTAAGGGGGCATATCAACTAAAAATTACAAGTGGTCAATTTGCTTATCAATTTATTTATGAAATGGTTATAGAAAGGGCTGTAGCTGGTCCAAGTTTCACCATCACACCCTAAACAGAAAAGGAGAAAAAAAATACACAACGAAGTATGCAACAAATTTTCAAATAGTTTCAGGGAACACATGTGTCAACTAAAATCATTTCTATAACACTCAGATATTAGATTTAGCACATAATAAAGGATTCTAGTGATCAGTTTTATGCAAAAAGTGTTTAGTGCAATAATATAATTATTCAAAAATACCCTTCTAAAATATATGCAATATATGATATTTATAAATTTTTATAAAATCAACAAATAGACTTTGGACTAAAATGTCTACTAGAGTCTGTAGAAGCACAAACGCTACATATAAGGTGAAATTTGCATGTAAATTGATTAATAAATGAAAGCTCTGAAGTACTTTGAAGGTGTAAATTACTTTCCAGAGTAAAATAAAGATCCAAGTTCGGCCACCTGTAGCTGAGCTTGACGTCGACAGATTTCGTTCATAATTGGCACCCTTGCAGATAGGCATCCATTGAGCAAGGTGTGCAAGTTTCATGCAAATCCCTTGATAACAAACGAGAAAAAAAATTAAGCTAGACTTGTCCAACCAGCGGTTGGCCCCAATGATGCATTTATAAATTACAACATACCTACAGTATGTTAACAAAAAATTATTTTATCAAATATGTTAGTATTATTATATACTAGAATGTTGAATAGTCCTGACTTTGGTTAGGTTAAGTGGTAAGTTCTGTTTGCAATTTATGGTAATTGCAGTATGTGGATGAAGCCTTTAGAGAGGTGTGATTCAAGCAGAGGACGTAAATGAAACACTGTTCAAGAAAAGCATGTCATCCAGCAGCTCGTCCTCATAAACAAAGGCCAAAATCCATTCCATGCACCCGCCAAACTCCCTGTTCATCAATGAAAACGGCTTACACACGACTCACAATTGATGACGTTTGAACACTTCCGGAAAAACTTTTTTGTTCGTGACTTTTGTTCGAACCACAACGCTGTAAATGCTTCACCCACATACTACAATTACAAATAATCGCCAACAGAACCTAATCTCCTAACTTAACCAATGCCTAAATATGCACAGTATGATAATATATAATAATATCAATTTATATTTGAGAAAAGTTCTATTTTGAATGAACAGAATGTTAAAATTGATGAATGCGTCTGTGGGGTCGACCGCTGGATGGAATGGACTTGGTCTGAGGAAGGGTTGAAATGCTTCATCCACGTACTTCAAATGCAAATAATTATCAGCAGAAACTAAACACGTAACCTAACCTCTGCCTAACTATACAAACTATACATAGAACTTTAATATATCATAATATTAATGTGTATATGAGAAACTTATTTTCTATGCACAATACATAAAAATGTATGAATACATCTTGGAAATCAGCAGCTGTTTTAACAAGCCTTGCCTGAGAACAGGTTGCATCATCAGTTGTAAGTCCCGTGTAAATTGTTTTTCACTAATAAACGGGGTTTGGGGGATTTGCCCCCCAAATGTCCCAAAATGCTCAGCCAAAAGGCAGAGCAATTCGGTCTTTGTTGATGAGTACAGGCTGGGGAATTGACCTCAGACCTAGCATGGAACGAGGTCTTCCCTCCACCGATCAGTTCTGGAGGATGGTACCACAAGCTCCATAGAGCTAAGGGACCACACAAAATAAATTCAATGCTGTCAAATTTGTTCAACAAACAGTATACAAAATAATAAGACTTACAGTTTGCATGTGAAATTCTGAATCTTATATGTCGAAGTAAACCATGATGTGCAATAATTAGATGGAAAATGGTTTAGAACGTATAATAATTAACAATAAAACTCTGTCATATATTGTCTCTTACATGAAGGGAGTTGACAATAGGTACTGGAGTGACTGGAGCGCGCACTGGCCCCATCCCTTCATAAAATTGATATTCCGCTTTGTCAGTACTGATGATGGTCCAGGACGCCCCATCGTTAATCATCTCTTTATTTGCTTCCTTTGGACATGGAGTTGCCTGTTTAAGAATAGATAAACCCCATTTTAGGTCTAGAATGAACTCTTAACAAATAATGCACTTTATTAGGCTACTAGAGCCACACTATTTGTACAACAATCTTTCTACTAATATTACATGCAAATTTAATTACAGCCATAATGGATACTGATGACACACAACAAAACCTTAAATATGCTATCTAGCGCTATATATGCTAAAGAACAGATAGTTACCTGAAACTGAATAATGCGCTCTTGACTGAGACAAAGATACATCCGTTCTGTGTCCTTCATGTAGAAAGCACATTTGTGAAGTTGAGAAACAGGGTCGTCAGCGTCGAGGAGCGCCGTCTGCTTGTCAACCTTACGAATGATGAGTCTGGGCAGTGCCATGCCTGTGACAGCACACACCAGCTTCACCGTAGACCCGTAGTGGATGTAGCCGTCACGGACACTGAACTCTTCGCTCTCACTCTCGTTGTCGTCCACTGTCAAAGCAAAAGGTCTTGAGCATATCTGGGACATTACATCTACAGTATGAAATATTCGATATGTTTCTAACTCACTGTATGTGTGTGTGTACTCGCTTCATTTGTGCTTGCGGGGGTTCAGCTTTGGCTCTTTGGTCCCGCCTCTCAACTGTCAATCAACTGGTGTACAGATTCCTGAGCCTACTGGGCTCTATCATATCTACATTTGAAACTGTGTATGGAGTCAGCCTCCATCACATCACTGCCTAATGCATTCCATCCGGGAACTACTCTGACACTCAAAAGGTTCCTTCTAACGTCCCTGTGGTTCATGTGGGTACTCAGTTTCCACCTGTGTCCCCTTGTTCGTGTCCCTCTTGTGTGTGTGTGTGTGTGTGTGTGTGTGTGTGTGTGTGTGTGTGTGTGTGTGTGTGTGTGTGTGTGTGTGTGTGTGTGTGTGTGTGTGTGTGTGTGTGTGTGTGTGTGTGTGTGTGTGTGTGTGTGTGTGTGTGTGTGTGTGTGTGTGTGTGTGTGTGTGTGTGTGTGTGTGTGTGTGTGTGTGCGTGCGTGTGTGTGTGTAGATCTAATAGTGGGTAAATAGTTAAATGAACAACGCTTAAACCCAAGTATTCGCGGGGAGTGGAATCATAAGGTTTGGACCAGATGCTGACACCTTACAACTCTGGCATGATAGTGTACACAACAACAGCACTGGAACGCAATGTATCTAAATTGTTCTGAATTCAAAGCAGCAATTAAACTATCTTAAGGGGTAATGATCTGCAATAGATGTCGACATTGCTAATGATAATTCCTTACAGAAAACAGTAATCTTTGTCCAAGTTTTGGGTGAAGAGCCGTGAACTTTACAGGCAGCCTGCAAGATGAATGAGGTGAGAGCGAGAGATAAAAGTACAGTGTGAATAATACAGGCACACCTGACACCCCACCTGTCCCCTCATGTTAACACTGCCTCTACCACACACCTGACACGCCACCTGTCCCCTCATGTTAACACTGCCTCTACCACACACCTGACACCCCACCTGTCCCCTCATGTTAACACTGCCTCTACCACACACCTGACACCCCACCTGTCCCCTCATATTAACACTGCCTCTACCACACACCTGACACCCCACCTGTCCCCTCATGTTAACACTGCCTCTACCACACACCTGACACCCCACCTGTCCCCTCATATTAACACTGCCTCTACCACACACCTGACACGCCACCTGTCCCCTCATGTTAACACTGCCTCTACCACACACCTGACACCCCACCTGTCCCCTCATATTAACACTGCCTCTACCACACACCTGACACGCCACCTGTCCCCTCATTTTAACACTGCCTCTACCACACACCTGACACCCCACCTGTCCCCTCATATTAACACTGCCTCTACCACACACCTGACACGCCACCTGTCCCCTCATGTTAACACTGCCTCTACCACACACCTGACACGCCACCTGTCCCCTCATGTTAACACTGCCTCTACCACACACCTGACACGCCATCTGTCCCCTCATGTTAACACTGCCTCTACCACACACCTGACACCCCACCGGGGGGGGGGGCCACCCTGTTACACACACACATTCAACCCGAAATTATGATAGGAGTTATGAAGGCGTAAATGTTTTATCAATAATTAAGACCAATATCACAATTATTAAATTATTACCATTCATTAGGTTATCATTCAATACGGCAATCGTGCGTGTGCGTATTTGTTTGATTATTATTAATCTTACGTTACGTGGTGTAGTGGGAGAGTGAGGTATATTTACAGAGGTGTAGTGTGAGAGGCGGGAGAGAGAGAGGTATACTTACACAGGTGTAGTGTGAGAGGCGGGAGAGAGAGAGGTATACTTACAGAGGTGTAGTGTGAGAGGCGGGAGAGAGAGAGGTATACTTACAGAGGTGTAGTGTGAGAGGCGGGAGAGAGAGAGGTATACTTACAGAGGTGTAGTGTGAGAGGCGGGAGAGAGAGAGGTATACTTACACAGGTGTATGGTGAAGGCGCCCCACTGCGTGGAAGAGGCGTGGAAGTTGCCGTTCTCAACGTGAAGATACCGCGTAGACACCGTCTGGGACCTGAGCCGGTTGAAGAGGGCCACCTTGGTGCCGGAGGCTATACACACTGTAGACACAGACACCACTGGTTATAGCGTGCACAACCACCCCTACACACTACAGGGCGTCGCGCCAGCTAAACACACTACACTCTATCATGCGTAACCATGACATTTGATCCTTATTATACACAATAATATGATATGCACTTTAGAGACTAAACGTAGTATTGAGTGCTCATCATTACCCAGAGTAATTATTGTGGGCAAAGTGACTGTTCCCGATGAATCTCTTGTTGCAACGCTGAATCTATATTAAGCGTGCTACCTTCTTGCACAAGATTATACACACTGAACCTAACCAAGAATATTTTAAAATATATTTGGTAAAAAAGTATATTTTTCTAGAGTTGAACACTTTTGTGTTCGAGAGGCGAATTTCTCCTGGTACCCTCAAAGCGCACTTTATAATGTAAACATGTAAAGAAAGTCTCACTTTAGTATAGTGTTATGGAATAGTTCCTGGTATATTACTCCAACAGTAGCAAGTGGCTATGGTGACGCACAGCCACACATGGAGACCCACAAGCCTGGTGTACAACCCCACACCTGTTACTTCAACACGTGACACCCCACACCTGTCACTTCAACACGTGACACCCCCACACCTGTCACTTCAACACGTGACACCCCCACACCTGTCACTTCAACACGTAAATATACGCACCCCTGCAAACCCCCCCCTCCCTCCCTTCCCCCACCCCTCCCCTGCACCCGTCCCACAGGCCAGGTGAGTGGGACAGGTGGTAGGGTTCTTGACCATCTCCGGAAGTGTTAGGACTCCTCCATGCAACATTCCCACGACCCTAGTGACACTGTACTCAGACTCTCTCTCTCTCTCTCTCTCCCTCTCCTTCCCTCCCTCCCTCAAACCCTCTCTCTCTCTCTCTCTCTCTCTCTCTCTCTCTGTAAATTACACGAGCACGCAATTTTAAACAACAAAGATGAATAGTTGCATTCATGATGAATGTAAACATTGCGGTGGAGGCGTGCACACGGCGACCATGGACTCATCACACACAAACCATGTCATAACAAATGTTTATATAACACACACACGGCAAATGGCTGGATAAATATTCACAAGAATGTTCACAAAAATGTTCACAACAACTGTTCACAACAACTGTTCACACACACATTGACAATAGCGAACATTAGAATAATATGACCAAACCAAACACCAGAAGATGAAGAGACAACGATGTTTCGCTCCGTCCTGAATCATTATTAAGTCGTGTGTGTGTGTGTGTGTGTGTGTGTGTGTGTGTGTGTGTGTGTGTGTGTGTGTGTGTGTGTGTGTGTGTGTGTGTGTGTGTGTGTTCTCTGATTGTTCAAAATTAACGAGGGGTCCACGGCTGTTCATCGTCCTCCCAGCAAGCATTAGAAATATTGCCGGAACCAAGGTGGATGTCTTCAAGAAGCATTTATAAACGTTTCTGCAAGGAGTGCCGGACCAACTGGGTTGTGGTGGATATGTGGGACCTGCGGGCCGCTCCAAGCAACAGCCTGGTGGACCTGGCCCCCAGGCCGGGTCCCACTCACGACTCTAGGAACCCTCTCCAGGTATGATCCAGGTTCTCAAAATACCTCTAGCGTTGATTTAATCGATTCATTTACAAAGGGGAGGATTGCTCACTATCTGCAAATGTGGTACACACACACACACACACACACACACACACACACACACACACACACACACACACACACACACACACCGCGGACGTCTACACAGGGACAACCTATGACACACATACCGACACGTGAACGCATCTGACGACACAAAAGCAATTACGTATTTTTGAACAGGTAAAAAATACGATACGCGCGGGTGTGTGTGTGTGCAATGTTCTTGTTGTGTGGTGGTCTTACTGTGTTGTCATGAGCAGGGAGGGGAGGGGAGGGGGAGGGAGAGGGGGATGGGGAGGGGGGGGAGAGGGAGGGAGGAGAGAGAGAGAGAGAGGTGAAGGAGTGAGTGCACTGAAGGAGAGCGGATGTGATGCAGGAAGTGCAGTTCCCTCGTTACCATGCCCCAACCCTCCTCCCCTCGCTACCATGCCTCCACCTCCTCCTACATTACCCTGCACACACCCCTCCCCTCGTTACCATGGTGGTGGTGGTGGCGGTAGTGGTTGTGGTGGTGGCGGTGGAAGTGACTGGTAGAGTACGAGTGGCCCGCCACTTCCCCCGCCAGGAAATAAGGTGATCCTCAGACACCGACTCACAATCCCACCTTCAGTTTTCTAACCGCATAATCTGGAAGCATTATTACCCAGCCGCGTGTACTACTGACGTAACCTCGGCTGGTAACGGGCGCGCCAATGTGGCCATTACCGCCGGGGCCCACAGGAGCGGTCCCGGCTGCGGGCCGCGGGAGCCGCACCTGACCCTCTGACAGGTGCATGGGCTGGTAAATGGGCGTAATTTTACTGTTATTACACAGATTGCCGCGTAGGAGGCGCGCCGCGTGCTGTGCCCGGCGCTGCCTGCGCCACTCTCCGCCTCCACAAGAATGCTGCTCGCTGATTTCATTATTTCCAAAAGTTTCGCAGTGTTCTCTAATGAATTTGGTTCTTAGTGCACACGAACTCACGGGAGAAACATTACGCAGCTCGGCTCTCTTCATAAGATCCTGTGGCTCTCTTAGGAGTGAAGAGCCGAGCGCGGCGCCAGGCGAAGCCTGCCTCTGCTAGACGTGTGGCTCTATGACCCACGTGGCGCCGGGGAGAAGCGTGGCGCCGGGGAGAAGCGTGGCGCCGGGGGAAGCATGGCGCCGGGGGGAAGCGTGGCGCCGGGGAGAAGGGTGGCGCCGGGGAGAAGCGTGGCGCCGGGGAGAAGCGTGGCGCCGGGGGGAAGCGTGGCGCCGGGGAGAAGGGTGGCGCCGGGGAGAAGCGTGGCGCCGGGGAGAAGCGTGGCGCCGGGGAGAAGCGTGGCGCCGGGGAGAAGCGTGGCGCCGGGGGGAAGCGTGGCGCCGGGGAGAAGGGTGGCGCCGGGGGAAGCGTGGCGCCGGGGAGAAGGGTGGCGCCGGGGGAAGCGTGGCGCCGGGGAGAAGCGTGGCGCCGGGGAGAAGCGTGGCGCCGGGGGAAGCGTGGCGCCGGGGAGAAGGGTGGCGCCGGGGGGAAGCGTGGCGCCGGGGAGAAGGGTGGCGCCGGGGGAAGCGTGGCGCCGGGGAGAAGCGTGGCGCCGGGGAGAAGCGTGGCGCCGGGGAGAAGCGCCACCACTATCCCAGTGGCATTGGATAACGTATTGTTATTTGAACAAAATGCATTACAAGAGGAAGAGAGCATGGGCCGGGCAGCGCGTCTTGGGGACACATGGGATGTGAGGAGCGTGGACGCCAGGAGGGGCCGCTAGGCGCTGCTCCCACCGCCACACTTTCAACGATAAACGCCGAGTTTCATCATCTGGCGTCCGGAAGAGCGACGCGCGCCACCTTGCGTCACACCCATGGCCGTAGTTACTGACCGCGCCGAACTGGACCATTGCCACTGCTAATTATTGCCTTGTGAGGTGAGCTTACACTGCTTGTGGCGAGGTGATGAGTCCCCAGTCCGGGGGCGGCGCCCCGGGGGGCACGCCTCTCACTTCTCTTCCCTTCACCTGAACTTGTATACCGTGGCCGCGTCGTCACCAGGTCAGCCATGGGAATCATCGCGTCAACCCCAGGTCAACCCACGTCTCTCTCGCCCGAGATGCACACACTTGGCCTTAATGAAGTACGAGAGTTTGGCCACAGTGGTGGTGGCGGCCACTGACGGTGGTGGCCACAGTGGTGGTATATTATCCAACAGAAACTTTCCTCTCGCCTCCTTATACTGTGTAACCAGTTTCTTGATATTGAGGAGGTCTGTGGAGGTAGTTGCGAGGTGTGAGGAGGAGGTCCAAGGCCACACTAACACCTGTACCCAGCTCCACCTGGGCCTCGTCCCGGGGCGGCCTCTTGCTCACCTTGGCAAATCTACAATTGATCAACCCAGGAAGGACCTCTACCAACCGCAATCTCTGTTATCCTCAACAGTAACAATACTCCCACCCTTGACACCTGTGACTCCCTCACCTCACTGCTCCCCCCCCCCACCCCCTCCCTCCCTCCCTCCCCCTCACTCCCCCCTCCCGTCTCAACATGGCCCCGGCGTTGGGAAATTCTATTTTCCCAGAACGACTGAGCAGCGTCTTGAAGTGTAGAGGTGGGCCCTACTGAAGGTCACAATCCCCCTACTGAAGGTCACAATCCCCCTACTGAAGGTCACAATCCCCCTACTGAAGGTCACAATCCCCCTACTGGAGGTCACAATCCCCCTACTAAAGGTCACAATCCCCCTACTGGAGGTCACAGTCCCCCTACTGAAGGTCACAATCCCCCCCTACTGGAGGTCACAATCCCCCCTAGTGGAGGGGAGACACACCACCACACTACAAGTGACCAAAGGCCAGGAAACACAAGTACAGAACACTTACAATCAGCGTTCTTGAGACTCTGCTTCTTCTTGGACGGCTTGGATATGACCTTGATCCTGCGGGAGTGGAAGACGCCGATGTCGGCCCCGGAGCCCCAGAAGGTCTTCACCGTCAGCATGAAGTGCTTCCTCTTGTCCGAGTCGCTGATGAAGAGCGTCTTGGCCGCGCAGTAGTGCTAAAACAAACAAACATAATTAACACTCTTATTGTGGGAGAGGCATTACAAGGGCACAGTTACTGGGGGAGGGGGGGAAAGAGTCGTTTTAACTGAGGTCCGGTAGTTAACGGCAGTGTAAGACAGTTTTTTGTTCCTGGGTAGTCAGTGTTAATTCTTAATTGTTTATGCCTAAAATGCATAGAAAATGGGTATCATTCGTCTCAAACTTGTCTGTGGCACCAGGACGGTTATATTTTGACAGTTGTCTATTTCCAACTAGAAAACGGGCGAATTTGCGTCTTTTCATTTACAGTCAGAACAAAAAACATGTGAATCAAAATTAGCTTGTATTTGTATTAAAGCTATTCTAACATAAACACAAAAGATTTAGAAGCGAACAGCGTTTTTTTTTCATGATTTACGATCACACTGTAAATCACCTTGACGAACCAGCCCTGAAATGTAAGTGTGCCATCATGTTGTCTGTATACTGTCCTTGGTGGTGGCATTGTATCCCGTGTATCCTGGTGGAGGTGCTCGCCTTGCTCCTCCCAGGACGCTCCCGTCTTCTCCTTCAAGATGATCAAGATGAGCATCAAGGATACGGCCTCTGAGGGACATCCTGCAGCCCAAGCTGCTCCGGCGTCTTCACCGGCGTCTCCGCCACCTCCACATAGTTTTTCCGGCCTTGTAATTGCCAGGAAGCCCCGAACCAGTGCCACAAAGCTGTTCCAAACCACTTTTCTCTTAACAAGTTACCTTCTTGGGGAATTCCTTGCACTCCAGACTCTTCTTTACCTCTAGTCTGATGAAGACAGCGGCTTTGACCTTTGCCTCAGACAGCTAAAGAAAAAAGTCTTGAAGATACTCAAGAGCCGCCGACTCTCGATCTAGGAGAACTGTGACACTTTCAGAAGGCCCAATTTGGTGGGTCTAGTTCATTCCCGACTAAGAATTGGGTCCGCTGTGGCCAGTCCCACCCGAGGTAGTGCATCTTGGCCAACCCTGCTGGACCAGAGGCAAAGATGACAGCAAATACACGCAGAAATCATAATGGATTTGTTCATAGCAGCGAAATTTGGTAAAGCTGTCTTGGAGACCCATCAGGACTGCCATCCCCCCCATTTTGAAGTCCCCGATCTGACTCTCTGCATCTATTTTCATTTTCAAATTACGACTTTTTACACCGAAAATATGCCAATTACTGAAAACGGCGATGGGTCATATTTTGCCCAAACCCCCCTGCAGTTTTCAAGATATCTGAAATGTCCGAAATTTGACTCCTGAGCGTGATTTTTGAGCCAAATTCTGACAGTCCCCAATGACCTTCCAGTGACGTGTGAGGGGGGGGGGGGGGGGAATAGCCTCACACTTCCTCACAGAAATAGCCGTTTTCTATATTCTGGAGGCATAGACAATTAGGAAATAACACTGACTACAAAGGAAATTTTGTGTTTTACACAATTTTTACTTCAAAGTGCACTTGGTTAATGGTAATAAGTACAGGTAGGTGTAAACGGGTAGCTAGTACAGGTGTGTATGTGTGTAGCCGGGTGGCTGGTACAGGTGTGTATGTGTGTGTGTAGCCGGGTGGCTGGTACAGGTGTGTATGTGTGTGTGTAGCCGGGTGGCTGGTACAGGTGTGTATGTGTGTGTGTAGCCGGGTGGCTGGTACAGGTGTGTATGTGTGTGTGTAGCCGGGTGGCTGGTACAGGTGTGTATGTGTGTGTGTAGCCGGGTGGGTGGTACAGGTGTGTATGTGTGTGTGTAGCCGGGTGGCTGGTACAGGTGTGTATGTGTGTGTGTAGCCGGGTGGCTGGTACAGGTGTGTGTGTGTGTGTGTAGCCGGGTGGCTGGTACAGGTGTGTATGTGTGTGTGTAGCCGGGTGGCTGGTACAGGTGTGTGTGTGTGTGTGTGTGTGTGTGTGTGTGTGTGTGTGTGTGTGTGTGTGTGTGTGTGTGTGTGTGTGTGTGTGTGTGTAGCCGGGTGGCTGGTACAGGTGTGTGTGTGTGTGTGTGTGTGTGTGTGTGTAGCCGGGTGGCTGGTACAGGTTTGTGTGTGTGTGTGTGTGTGTGTGTGTGTGTGTGTGTGTGTGTGTGTGTGTGTGTGTGTGTGTGTGTGTGTGTAGCCGGGTGGCTGGTACAGGTATGTGTGTGTGTGTGTGTGTGTGTGTGTGTGTGTAGCCGGGTGGCTGGTACAGGTATGTGTGTACTCACCTATATGTACTCACCTATATGTGCTTGCAGGATCGAGCATTGACTCTTGGATCCCGCCTTTCTAGCTATCGGTTGTTTACAGCAATGACTCCTGTCCCATTTCCCTATCATACCTAGTTTTAAAAGTATGAATAGTATTTGCTTCCACAACCTGTTCCCCAAGTGCATTCCATTTTTCTACTACTCTCACGCTAAAAGAAAACTTCCTAACATCTCTGTGACTCATCTGAGTTTCCAGTTTCCACCCATGTCCCCTCGTTCTGTTATTATTACGTGTGAACATTTGATCTATTTCCACTTTGTCAATTCCCCTGAGTATTTTATATGTCCCTATCATATCTCCTCTCTCCCTTCTTTTCTCTAGTGTCGTAAGGTTCAGTTCCTTCAGCCGCTCTTCATATCCCATCCCTCGTAGCTCTGGGACAAGCCTTGTCGCAAACCTCTGAACCTTCTCCAGTTTCTTTATGTGTTTCTTCAGGTGGGGGCTCCATGATGGCGCGGCATACTCTAAGACGGGTCTCACGTAGGCAGTGTAAAGCGCCCTAAAAGCTTCCTCATTTAGGTTTCTGAATGAAGTTCTAATTTTCGCCAGTGTAGAGTACGCTGCTGTCGTTATCCTATTTATATGTGCCTCAGGAGTTAGATTGGGTGTCACATCCACTCCCAGGTCTCTTTCTCGAATCGTTACAGGTAGGCTGTTCCCCTTCATTGTGTACTGTCCCTTTGGTCTCCTGTCACCTGATCCCATTTCCATAACTTTACATTTACTGGTGTTAAACTCCAGTAGCCATTTCTCTGACCATCTCTGCAGCCTGTGTAAGTCCTCTTGGAGGATCCTACAATCCTCGTCTGTCACAACTCTTCTCATTAATTTTGCGTCATCTGCAAACATTGACATGTATGATTCCACTCCTGTAAACATATCATTTACGTAAATTAGAAAGAGGATTGGTCCCAGCACCGATCCTTGAGGTACTCCACTTGTTACTGTTCGCCAGTCCGACTTTTCGCCCCTTACCATTACCCTCTGGCTCCTTCCTGTTAGGTAGTTCTTCACCCATACTAGGGCCTTTCCGCTTACTCCTGCCTGCCTCTCAAGTTTGTATAGCAGTCTCATGTGCGGTACCGTATCAAAGGCCTTTTGGCAGTCAAGAAATATGCAGTCTGCCCAGCCTTCTCTGTCCTGCCTTATCCTTGTTACTTTATCATAGAATTCTAAAAGGTTTGTTAGGCATGATTTCCCTGTCCAGAACCCATGTTGGTGCTTGTTTACAAACCCAAAGCTTGTTTACAAAGCTTGTGTGTGTGTGTGTGTGTGTGTGTGTGTGTGTGTGTGTGTGTGTGTGTGTGTGTGTGTGTGTGTGTGTGTGTGTGTGTGTGTGTGTGTGTAGCCGGGTGGCTGATACTGGTGTGTGTGTGTAGCCGGGTGGCTGATACAGGTGTGTGTGTGTAGCCGGGTGGCTGATACAGGTGTGTGTGTGTAGCCGGGTGGCTGATACAGGTGTGTGTGTATGTGTGTAGCCGGGTGACTGATACAGGTGTGTATATGTGTGTGTAGCCGGGTAGCTAGTACAGGTGCGTGTGTGTAGCCGGGTGGCTGGTACAGGTGTGTGTGTGTAGCCGGGTGGCTGGTACAGGTGTGTGTGTGTAGCCGGGTGGCTGGTACAGGTGTGTGTGTAAGAGCAGGCATGGGGGGTGTACCTTGCCATTGAGGTCGAGCTGTTGCATGTCCTGGTCAGAGTTGCCGATGCCGATGAAGCAACAGAGCTGGGAGTCGTGCTCGGAGGCCCCGGCCCGCTGCAGCTCGTGCCTCTTGCGCTGCCAGCCGTCGCCGTAGAGGTAGATGCACGGGGGAGGACAGAAGAAGCGCTTCTCGTTGCCGTAGGACTTCTGGGCCACCTTAGCGTGGAGAATGACCAGGGTCTGGTCTCCACGCTCCCTCAGGTACCGCTGCATCGCCTCTCTCGTCAGTCGCTGCTCCTTGGGCCTGCAGCAACATGTTAAAAATGATTAGTGTGGGGGGTCAGTGCTGCTCTTCAGGAGCATAGCGTCATTATACACGAATGTTATGCTCCTATTGTACCTCGACCTTCCAAGTGATTGGGAACCATTCCTTCCCCTCCCTGCCCCATCCCAAATCCTTATCCTGACCCTTTCCCAGTGTTATATAGTCATAATGACTTGGCGCTTCTCCTGATAATTCCTTTCCTTTCCTATTGTACCGCTATATCATAAAATGTTGAAGTGTTTGTGTGTAAGGGTGAAGGGAGAGGGGGGGTGACAGGTCGACCTATCAACACCCCTTCCTCCACCCCCCCCCTCACCACAACACCCTTTCTACCTGCCCCCCTATTACAGTCTCCAATTTCGAACTTCATGCCAATTCCCAACATTATTTCTAAAAGTAGTTAAAAACAAAAAAAGTCCTTGGACATGACACAGTTCTGGGCCACTTGGCCATGTAGAGAGGCGGCCCGCCGCGGCCTTCACGTCGTCAGTGTACACAAAAACGGCACTTGGGCAGCGTTCTTATAGCGAGGCGGTTCTATCACGCAGGCTGATAGCCTTGAGTCAATTTTGATATATAAATATAAATGATTGTGCTTGGAAGGTTTGGGTGTTCCTTGGTTGAGATAACTTCCTGTTGAGTCACACTTGACGCCATGTGGAGACCCATCAACACTTGCTCCTCTACACGCTCCTGTGTACACCTGTCCCTCCCTCCCTCCCACTCACTCGCCACTCTCTCCCATAGCACCCTCCCACTCAACACTCCCTCCCACTATATGGTCAACAATGGCTTACAAAATAACACAGAAACGACTGCAGTGGAAGGAGGCACAATACTGTGTGTTGTGGTGGCGGGTGTGTGTGTGTGCACTGAACACATGGTGCCAGGTGTGTGCACTGAACACATAGTGCCAGGTGTGTGCACTGAACACATGGTGCCAGGTGTGTGCACTGAACACATGGTGCCAGGTGTGTGCACTGAACACATGGTGCCAGGTGTGTGCACTGAACACATGACCGAGGCAAGCAGCACACAGTAATGCTCTCTACACCTTTTAAACAGACAAATACTTATCAAATAAACGCTTTAATATAAGGGAGGTCTCTAACCAGGGGTATGGGGCCCAAGTAACGGTGGTATAGGAATTAATGGAGGGTATAGGAAGTAATGGGGGGTATAGGAAGCAAGTAATGCGGGAATGGGAACCAAATAATAAGGGTATGGAAACCAAATTATGGGGGGATGGGACTCGAGCTCTGAACAACTATAAAAAAAAGGTTATTGCTAGAACAGAATCAAGGTCGTTATCAATAAGGCTCGAGACAGCTCCACATTGTGCAGATGTATATACAAATTTTGCAATGGCATTCGACAAGTGTGACCAGGGAGTGATAGCCCATAAAATGAGATCAATAAGAATGACAGGCAAAGTGGGGCGTTGGATTTTCAACTTTCTGTCAAACAGAATGCAGGGAGTGACGGTCAATCAAATAAGATGAAGCCCAAGTGCAGTGTAAAGCTCTGTGCCGCAGGGCACAGTCCTTGCACCGCTACTTTTTATCATTCCTATCTCGGATAGAGACAAAAATACTAGTCACAGCTTCGTGTCATCCTTAGCAGAAGATAAAAAAAAATCAGCAGGAAAAGTGCCACTGTAAAAGACACTGAAAAACTACAGGCAGATATTAATAAAGTCTTCAATTGGGCAACTGAAAATAACACGATGTTTAACGGTGACAAGTTCCAGGTACTGAGGTATGGTGGAAACGAGGAACTTACACGACACACAGGGGTTTATGTCTAATTGACGGTATCCTGCTTCACCGTCAATTGTAGGGAATTACTCAGTGAGTAGAAGGTAGGAGCCGGTTGGCCGAGCGGACAGCACGCTGGACTTGTGATCATGTGGTCCTGGGTTCGATCCCGGGCGCCGGCGAGAAACAATGGGCAGAGTTTCTTTCATCCTATGCCCCTGTTACCTAGCAGTAAAATAGGTACCTGGGTGTTAGTCAGCTGTCACGGACTGCTTCCTGGGGGTGGAGGCCTGGTCGAGGACCGGAACACTAAAGCCCCGAAAACATCTCAAGATAACCTCAAGATAGCAGATGGTGGCGGCGTAAGGCAGAGCTTGCAGTGTAGCATAGATGGGTACGGTGTCCTGGGGTCGTGATATCTAAACGATCGAACGGTTTAGATCTTGAGGAGTTGAACTGAAGGTTACACAACAGAACTCTGGTCTGTAAGATTACTTAATAACAACCAGCATGTAACCAGTAAGTGAGGTTTAAGACTGGTCCCAGTTACAACAGTACCGGCACGTATTCCACAGTCCAATTGTGCTCTGTAACCCGAAAAAGATTACGAACTTCTGTCTTACATTATACCACCAAAAGCTTTAGATTATTCTGATCCTGTCGCTGTTTAATTTCTTTGGTGATCCTTCGCTGTACATCAGCACTACTGGGCCTCCCAGAGCTGTACGTGGCTTAGTAGGCCTGCACACCAAGTGGCTTAGTAGTATCATACTGGTATCATAACACCTGTGGTGGGCAGGATATGATGCAGCAATTTCCAGAGTTTATCTGCAATGGTTCATGATTGTACCAGTTTGTCAAGGATAGTCTCCAACACTCCCCCACTCCACCCCTCCCTCCGTCTCTCCCTCCCTCCATCACGCCCCCCCCCAACATTCCACCAGACCATCATCTTTCCCCCCCACCCCCCTCCACCACTGTAACAAGCTCTTCACAGCCATTGTAACAGCCTTCATCACCGCCTAAGACAATGCAATCATACTGGTTCTAGAACAGAAAGGACTCTGTTGTGCCTGCAATGACTGAGGGAGTTCTATGTTTCTATATTAGACAAGAAACGGGAAAGAGGAGACATGATCTCGACATATAAATTCATCAGGTATACAAATAACTAATAAGAGAATGTTCATCAGGGTGAGTGCGAGGAGAGGCTGCAGAAGGAAGCGAGAAATGCCTGGAGTATACCTGGAGTATACCTGGAGTATACCTGGAGTATACCTGGAGTATACCTGGAGAGGGTTTCGGGGAGTTCTTCTATTCCCTGAGCCAGGCTTGATTTGTGAGAGCTTGGTCCAACAGGCTGTTACATGTAGCGGCCCGCAGGCCCACAACAGCCTTGTTGGTCCGGCATTTCTTGCAAGAAGTTGTCCAAGTGCCTCTTGAATACTTGCACATAGGCGGGTGGCGCCTATGTGCCAGGGGCCAGATTCAGGAAGCAGTTGCGCAAGCACTTACGAACGTATACATCTTTCCTCAATCTCTGACGGCTTTGGTTACATTTATTAAACAGTTTACAAGCATGAAAACTTCCCAATCCACTTTTGTTATTGTTATAAACGGCCTCCTGGTGCTTCGGAGCTCATTAACTGTTTAATAATTGCAAACAACGCCGCCAAAGATTGAGAAAAGATGTATAGGTTCGTAAGTGCTGGCGTAAGTATTTCGTGAATCTGGCCCCAGGTTCTTGAGACACACACACACAGGTGAGCACAAAGGAGAGCGTCTCGCAGCGAAGAGATTGAAATGGAAAAGAACGCCGCGAAACCCGTTCTCAGAATAGAACGTCGCATTTTGGCGTATAAAAGTGGCTCGCGAAACTGGCCATATTGTCCGGTATACTGTCGGTAGGTCCCCTGGTAGGTTAGGATAAGGCCACTTTAGCACGACGGTTTCTTGACGATGGGAAAGTTTAGGAGGACGGGTTTCGGGAGGACGGGACACAGTATCATGACAGGTCATGATACTGTGTCCCAGTACTGTGTCCCATGTGATCCCCGCCCCAGTACTGTGTCCCATGTGATCCCCCCGCCCCAGTACTGTGTCCCATGTGATCCCCCCGCCCCAGTACTGTGTCCCATGTGATCCCCCGCCCCAGTACTGTGTCCCATGTGATCCCCCGCCCCAGTACTGTGTCCCATGTGATCCCCCGCCCCAGTACTGTGTCCCATGTGATCCCCCGCCCCAGTACTGTATCCCCCCGCCCCAGTACTGTGTCCCATGTGAAGTACTGTGTCCCCCCGCCCCAGTACTGTGTCCCATGTGATCCCCCGCCCCAGTACTGTGTCCCATGTGATCCCCCCGCCCCAGTACTGTGTCGTATGTGATCCCCCGCCCCAGTACTGTGTCCCATGTGATCCCCCGCCCCAGTACTGTGTCCCATGTGATCCCCCCGCCCCAGTACTGTGTCCCATGTGATCCCCCGCCCCAGTACTGTGTCCCATGTGATCCCCCGCCCCAGTACTGTGTCGTATGTGATCCCCCGCCCCAGTACTGTGTCGTATGTGATCCCCCGCCCCAGTACTGTGTCCCATGTGATACCCCGCCCCAGTACTGTGTCCCATGTGATCCCCCGCCCCAGTACTGTGTCCCATGTGATACCCCGCCCCAGTACTGTGTCCCATGTGATCCCCCGCCCCAGTACTGTGTCCCATGTGATCCCCCCGCCCCAGTACTGTGTCCCATGTGATCCCCCGCCCCAGTACTGTGTCCCATGTGATCCCCCGCCCCAGTACTGTGTCCCATGTGATCCCCCGCCCCAGTACTGTGTCCCATGTGATCCCCCGCCCCAGTACTGTGTCCCATGTGATCCCCCGCCCCAGTACTGTGTCCCATGTGATCCCCCGCCCAGTACTGTGTCCCATGTGATCCCCCCGCCCCAGTACTGTGTCCCATGTGATCCCCCGCCCCAGTACTGTGTCGAATGTGATCCCCCGCCCCAGTACTGTGTCGTATGTGATCCCCCGCCCCAGTACTGTGTCGTATGTGATCCCCCCGCCCCAGTACTGTGTCGTATGTGATCCCCCGCCCCAGTACTGTGTCCCATGTGATCCCCCGCCCCAGTACTGTGTCCCATGTGATCCCCCGCCCCAGTACTGTGTCCCATGTGATCCCCCCGCCCCAGTACTGTGTCCCATGTGATCCCCGCCCCAGTACTGTGTCCCATGTGATCCCCCCGCCCCAGTACTGTGTCCCATGTGATCCCCCCGCCCCAGTACTGTGTCCCATGTGATCCCCCGCCCCAGTACTGTGTCCCATGTGATCCCCCGCCCCAGTACTGTGTCCCATGTGATCCCCCTGCCCCAGTACTGTGTCCCATGTGATCCCCCCGCCCCAGTACTGTGTCCCATGTGATCCCCCGCCCCAGTACTGTGTCCCATGTGATCCCCCTGCCCCAGTACTGTGTCCCATGTGATCCCCCGCCCCAGTACTGTGTCCCACGTGATCCCCCGCCCCAGTACTGTGTCCCATGTGATCCCCGCCCCAGTACTGTGTCCCATGTGATCCCCCTGCCCCAGTACTGTGTCCCATGTGATCCCCCGCCCCAGTACTGTGTCCCATGTGATCCCCGCCCCAGTACTGTGTCCCATGTGATCCCCCGCCCTAGTACTGTGTCCCATGTGATACCCCGCCCCAGTACTGTGTCCCATGTGATCCCCCCGCCCCAGTACTGTGTCCCATGTGATCCCCGCCCCAGTACTGTGTCCCATGTGATCCCCCCGCCCCAGTACTGTGTCCCATGTGATCTCCCCGCCCCAGTACTGTGTCCCATGTGATCCCCCCGCCCCAGTACTGTGTCCCATGTGATCCCCCGCCCAAGTACTGTGTCCCATGTGATCCCCGCCCCAGTACTGTGTCCCATGTGATCCCCCGCCCCAGTACTGTGTCCCATGTGATCCCCCGCCCCAGTACTGTGTCCCATGTGATCCCCGCCCCAGTACTGTGTCCCATGTGATCCCCCGCCCCAGTACTGTGTCCCATGTAATATCCCGCCCCAGTACTGTGTCACAGTACAACAGAACTCTCACTACTCCCACCAGCACTATAACAAGCGTTACCGTGTATACTCCCAGTATAGTGCGACATACTATCTATCACTAGCCCTACAAACATCTGGTATACTTACGCGAACCTGTCATAGACGGGCGGTGAGGGCGTGGGTAGTGGCGAGGGCGGCGTGTGGAGGGTGGGCATGACGGGCATGAGGGCGTGGTGGGCGTGGTGGGCGTGGTGGGCGTGGTGGTGGTGGTGGGCCGGGTGGTGGTGGTGCCCACCCTCGCCATTGACCTTGTCTGGAGGTGTCAGAGAGCCGGCCAGCATCGTCGCTCCAGGATCTGCCACGATACACAAACACACTTAATACAACAAATACATACATATACATCTGGCTGTATAATCATACAGTATCAAATATTAGTCAATATCATAATATTAATAACAGAAGGAGGATAATGTTGATCAGTAGTGCACAATGTGTTTAGTATTATTGAGAGCAACTTATGAGAGCAACATTTTCACCCCCGAGAATATTGTGTTGCAGAGGTGCAAGTGCTTTGGTAAATGAGGGAGAGGAAGCAGCTGGCAACACCGGTGATGGTTAGAGAGGAAACTTAAAGTGGAGTGTTGCGAGAGGCCGTGGGTGTTGTGCGAGGCAGCGTGCAACACCCACAACACTGCCTCTGGTGCAACACAGAAGACGAGTCAAGCAGGCAAGGACAAGCCACACACACACACACACACATACACCCGCCACCACATTAGTCAGGCCATACAACCACACACAGTGCCAGGGGGAGGTGCCACCACAGTGCCAGGGGTAGGTGCCACCACAGTGCCAGGGGTAGGTGTCACCACAGTGCCAGGGATAGGTGCCACCACACAGTGCCAGGGGAGTAGCAGTGACCACACAAGAGCCCCACACCCCCCAACACCCCACACTTGAGAGGCCGGGAAGAGTGTAGTTAGCATACATGTGTTAGAGAGAAGGGGTGAGGGGGCGTGTACGTGGTGCAGACCAGTGCCACAGGGTGGGGGAGTGTGGTGCCACAGGGCGGGGGAGAGTGGTGCCACAGGGTGGGGGAGAGTGGTGCCACAGGGTGGAGGAGTGTGGTGCCACAGGGTGGGGGAGAGTGGTGCCACAGGGTGGGGGAGAGTGGTGCCACAAGGTGGGGAGAGTGGTGCCACAGGGTGGAGGAGTGTGGCGCCACAGGGTGGGGGAGAGTGGTGCCACAGGGTGGGGGAGAGTGGTGCCACAGGGTGGGGGAGTGGTGCCACAGGGTGGGGGAGTGGTGCCACAGGGTGGGGGAGAGTGGTGTCACAGGGTGGGGGAGAGTGGTGCCACAGGGTGGGGGAGAGTGGTGCCACAAGGTGGGGAGAGTGGTGCCACAGGGTGGAGGAGTGTGGTGCCACAGGGTGGGGGAGAGTGGTGCCACAGGGTGGGGGAGAGTGGTGCCACAGGGTGGGGGAGAGTGGTGCCACAGGGTGGGGGAGAGTGGTGCCACAGGGTGGGGGAGAGTGGTGCCACAGGGTGGGGGAGAGTGGTGCCAAAGGGTGGGGAAGAGTGGTGGGGGGCGGGCTTACACACCCTTAAGTGATGCTCTGACTACAGGACAGTTGAAAATAAAGTTGTTAGTGACCTGGGCGAGGGGGGGGAGGTGCGCCGTGGCGTGTGAGGGAGGGGGGGGCAAGGAAGAGTGAGGGAGGGATGGCAGAGCGAGTGAGGGAGAGGGCGGCAGAGGCAAGGAAGCGAGAGTATGAGGTGCAGGAGAGGCCACATGACTACAGAGATAACAACAGCTGCATCAGCTTACATCTGTGAAATCCGTAAGGCTTGACATCTGCTGATGGCCAGGCTGGGGGAGAAGAGACGAGAGGTGTCAGTCAGTCTACTGCAGGAGCGCCGGCCCCCCCCCCTCCAGGGGCTCCACACACCCCCCTCCTCCAGGGGCTCCACACACACCCCCTCCCCTCCAGGGGCTCCACACCCCGTCCCCTCCAGGGGTTCCACACCACCCCCCCTTCCACATGTACCTCCCACCGCTAACAGCTACCTCACACCTCACCAGGTACAGCTATGAGATACCCTCACTACTCTAGCATTATTTGGGCTCTGGCTGGCACTACACACTTCAATGAAACATGAGGAGTTCCTCACGTCACTCCTCACAACACACCATAACAATACACCCTCACCTCACACCCTCGTACCTCACCAGACACAACACACCACTCACGCCCTCACACACACACACACACTCCTCACAACACTCATTATTAAACAGAATTATTATGTCTTAAAACAAAAGTTACCGTGAACACACACACAATAAATGAGCATAAAATGATAATGTAATGATTTGAACGTGATTGATAATATCCATTATAGCACATGGTTGGTGGTGAGGCGCCGCTGGCAACAGTGGTGAGGCGCCGCTGGCAACAGTGGTGAGGCGCCGCTGGCAACAGTGGTGAGGCGCAGCTGGCAACAGTGGTGAGGCGCCGCTGACAACAGTGGTGAGGCGCCGCTGGCAACAGTTATGAGGCGCCGCTGGCAACAGTGGTGAGGCGCCGCTGACAACAGTGGTGAGGCGCCGCTGGCAACAGTGGTGAGGCGCCGCTGGCAACAGTGGTGAGGCGCCGCTGACAACAGTGGTGAGGCGCAGCTGGCAACAGTGGTGAGGCGCCGCTGACAACAGTGGTGAGGCGCAGCTGGCAACAGTGGTGAGGCGCCGCTGACAACAGTGGTGAGGCGCCGCTGGCAACAGTGGTGAGGCGGAGCTGGCAACAGTGGTGAGGCGCCGCTGACAACAGTGGTGAGGCACCGCTGGCAACAGTGGTGAGGCGCCGCTGACAACAGTGGTGAGGCACCGCTGGCAACAGTTGTGAGGCGCCGCTGACAACAGTGGTGAGGCGCCGCTGGCAACAGTGGTGAGGCGCCGCTGGCAACAGTGGTGAGGCACAGCTGGCAACAGTGGTGAGGCGCCGCTGACAACAGTGGTGAGGCGCCGCTGGCAACAGTTATGAGGCGCCGCTGGCAACAGTGGTGAGGCGCCGCTGACAACAGTGGTGAGGCGCAGCTGGCAACAGTGGTGAGGCGCCGCTGACAACAGTGGTGAGGCGCAGCTGGCAACAGTGGTGAGGCGCCGCTGACAACAGTGGTGAGGCGCCGCTGGCAACAGTGGTGAGGCGGAGCTGGCAACAGTGGTGAGGCGCCGCTGACAACAGTGGTGAGGCACCGCTGGCAACAGTGGTGAGGCGCCGCTGACAACAGTGGTGAGGCACCGCTGGCAACAGTTGTGAGGCGCCGCTGACAACAGTGGTGAGGCGCCGCTGACAACAGTGGTGAGGCGCCGCTGGCAACAGTGGTGAGGCGCCGCTAACAACAGTGGTGAGGCGCAGCTGGCAACAGTGGTGAGGCGCCGCTGACAACAGTGGTGAGGCGCCGCTGGCAACAGTGGTGAGGCGCCGCTGACAACAGTGGTGAGGCGCCGCTGGCAACAGTGGTGAGGCACCGCTGACAACAGTGGTGAGGCGCCGCTGGCAACAGTTGTGAGGCGCCGCTGACAACAGTGGTGAGGCGCCGCTGACAACAGTGGTGAGGCGCCGCTGACAACAGTGGTGAGGCGCCGCTGGCAACAGTGGTGAGGCGCCGCTGGCAACAGTGGTGAGGCGCCGCTGGCAACAGTGGTGAGGCATCGCTGGCAACAGTGGTGAGGCGCCGCTGACAACAGTGGTGAGGCGCAGCTGGCAACAGTGGTGAGGCGCCGCTGACAACAGTGGTGAGGCATCGCTGGCAACAGTGGTGAGGCGCCGCTGACAACAGTGGTGAGGCGCAGCTGGCAACAGTGGTGAGGCGCCGCTGACAACAGTGGTGAGGCGCCGCTGGCAACAGTGGTGAGGCGCAGCTGGCAACAGTGGTGAGGCGCCGCTGACAACAGTGGTGAGGCACCGCTGGCAACAGTGGTGAGGCGCCGCTGACAACAGTGGTGAGGCGCCGCTGGCAACAGTGGTGAGGCGCCGCTGACAATAGTGGTGAGGCGCCGCTGACAACAGTGGTGAGGCGCCGCTGGCAACAGTGGTGAGGCGCCGCTGACAACAGTGGTGAGGCGCAGCTGGCAACAGTGGTGAGGCGCCGCTGACAACAGTGGTGAGGCGCAGCTGGCAACAGTGGTGAGGCGCCGCTGACAACAGTGGTGAGGCGCCGCTGGCAACAGTGGTGAGGCGCCGCTGACAACAGTGGTGAGGCGCCGCTGGCAACAGTGGTGAGGCACCGCTGGCAACAGTGGTGAGGCGCCGCTGACAACAGTGGTGAGGCGCCGCTGACAACAGTGGTGAGGCGCCGCTGACAACAGTGGTGAGGCGCCGCTGACAACAGTGGTGAGGCGCCGCTGACAACAGTGGTGAGGCGCCGCTGACAACAGTGGTGAGGCGCCGCTGACAACAGTGGTGAGGCGCGGCTGGCAACAGTGGTGAGGCACCGCTGGCAACAGTGGTGAGGCGCCGCTGACAACAGTGGTGAGGCGCCGCTGACAACAGTGGTGAGGCACCGCTGGCAACAGTTGTGAGGCGCCGCTGACAACAGTGGTGAGGCGCCGCTGGCAACAGTGGTGAGGCGCCGCTGACAAAAGTGGTGAGGCGCCGCTGACAACAGTGGTGAGGCACCGCTGGCAACAGTGGTGAGGCGCCGCTGACAACAGTGGTGAGGCACCGCTGGCAACAGTTGTGAGGCGCCGCTGGCAACAGTTGTGAGGCGCCGCTGACAACAGTGGTGAGGCGCCGCTGACAACAGTGGTGAGGCGCCGCTGGCAACAGTGGTGAGGCGCCGCTGGCAACAGTTGTGAGGCGCCGCTGACAACAGTTGTGAGGCGCCGCTGACAACAGTTGTGAGGCGCCGCTGACAACAGTGGTGAGGCACCGCTGGCAACAGTTGTGAGGCGCCGCTGGCAACAGTTGTGAGGCGCCGCTGACAACAGTTGTGAGGCGCCGCTGACAACAGTGGTGAGGCGCCGCTGGCAACAGTTGTGAGGCGCCGCTGGCAACAGTTGTGAGGCGCAGCTGGCAACAGTTGTGAGGCGCCGCTGGCAACAGTTATGAGGCGCCGCTGGCAACAGTTATGAGGCGCCGCTGGCAACAGTTATGAGGCGCCGCTGGCAACAGTTGTGAGGCGCCCCTGACAACAGTTATGAGGCGCCGCTGGCAACAGTTATGAGGCGCCGCTGGCAACAGTTATGAGGCGCCGCTGACAACAGTTATGAGGCGCCCCTGACAACATTTATGAGGCGCCGCTGACAACAGTTATGAGGCGCCCCTGACAACAGTTATGAGGCCTCCCTGACAACAGTTATGAGGCGCCGCTGACAACAGTTATGAGGCGCCGCTGACAACAGTTATGAGGCGCCGCTGACAACAGTTATGAGGCGCCGCTGACAACAGTTATGAGGCGCCCCTGACAACAGTTATGAGGCGCCCCTGACAACAGTTATGAGGCGCCCCTGACAACAGTTATGAGGCCTCCCTGACAACAGTTATGAGGCGCCGCTGACAACAGTTATGAGGCGCCGCTGACAACAGTTATGAGGCGCCGCTGACAACAGTTATGAGGCGCCCCTGACAATGCGGACACAAGACACACAGTATTGAGTGAGGACAGAGAACGAGTTAGACGAATTGTGAGGAAAATATGTAAGATAATGAGGCGTGAGGTGCCAACAGAGGTGTGAGGAGGGACAGGTATGTGTTGAAGAGTGAGGGTAAGTGTGCAGGATGCCGGATACACGCTACAGTACCAGCAGAGGTGGCCAAGGCACAGTACCAGCAGAGGTGGCCAAGGCACAGTACCAGCAGAGGTGGCCAAGACACAGTACAAGCAGAGGTGGCCAAGGCACAGTACCAGCAGAGGTGGCCAAGGCACAGTACAAGCAAAGGTGGCCAAGGCACAGTACCAGCAGAGGTGGCCAAGGCACAGTACCAGCAGAGGTGGCCAAGGCACAGTACCAGCAGAGGTGGCCAAGGCACAGTACCAGCAGAGGTGGCCAAGGCACAGTACCAGCAGAGGTGGCCAAGGCACAGTACCAGCAGAGGTGGCCAAGGCACAGTACCAGCAGAGGTGGCCAAGGCACAGTACCAGCAGAGGTGGCCAAGGCACAGTACCAGCAGAGGTGGCCAAGGCACAGTACCAGCAGAGGTGGCCAAGGCACAGTACCAGCAGAGGTGGCCAAGGCACAGTACCAGCAGAGGTGGCCAAGGCACAGTACCAGCAGAGGTGGCCAAGACACAGTACAAGCAGAGGTGGCCAAGGCACAGTACCAGCAGAGGTGGCCAAGGCACAGTACAAGCAGAGGTGGCCAAGGCACAGTACCAGCAGAGGTGGCCAAGACACAGTACAAGCAGAGGTGGCCAAGGCACAGTACCAGCAGAGGTGGCCAGGCCACAGTACAAGCAGAGGTGGCCAAGGCACAGTACCAGCAGAGGTGGCCAAGGCACAGTACCAGCAGAGGTGGCCAAGGCACAGTACCAGCAGAGGTGGCCAAGACACAGTACAAGCAGAGGTGGCCAAGGCACAGTACCAGCAGAGGTGGCCAAGGCACAGTACAAGCAAAGGTGGCCAAGGCACAGTACCAGCAGAGGTGGCCAAGGCACAGTACAAGCAGAGGTGGCCAAGGCACAGTACCAGCAGAGGTGGCCAAGGCACAGTACCAGCAGCGGTGGCCAAGCCACAGTACCAGCAGAGGTGGCCAAGGCACAGTACCAACAGAGGTGGCCAAGGCACAGTACCAGCAGAGGTGGCCAAGGCACAGTACCAGCAGAGGTGGCCAGACCACAGTACCAGCAGAGGTGGCCAAGGCACAGTACC